TATATATATATATATTAATATTCTTTTCCATCGTTCGCTTTCAATGTTTTTTGGGCTTTATGTTTCAGATTTATATATAGATATCCTCTAAGATTTATATATATATAGATATCCTCTAAGATTTATATATATATATATCCTCTAAGATTTATATATATATATATATATCCTGTAAGATTTATGTATATATATATATATACAACACACTGGCTTTGTCGAAAACGATGAAAATATGCGTTTCATTATGTCCGCAACGAGATCTAACAATACGGTATAGGTCTTGACTGAAACTGGCTCGTTGTGCTTGAAGCATGGGTTCGATGACCTGGGAGCATTTGTCCTTGCGCATGTTCATGAGACTGCCGCCCCTTCCACGGACGAAGCGCTCCATGTTGGTCCGTCGGCGGCGGCGCTGGTGGATGCCCTAGCCGCGACCTTTCCTGGCTTTTGCGACGTCCACAATGACGTGATCATTCTCAAAAAAGCGCAATTGCTGGCGTCCAACTTGTACCGTCGATTTGGGGTATTATGATGTATTTGTTTCTCCCATACGACAAGTTACTCGACTAGTCAGCACCAAATATGTGGTTGATTTTTAATTGTTTATGAATAGATTTAATATATCGTGAATTTGAGTGGAATTGGATATTTATATTATTGATCTTGGGAGTTGTAGGCGTCGGACGTGCGATTCGCGTTTCAAGACATGGAGACGCTCACGGCTTGCAGTGACAACGTACGTCGCGTAACTATCTATGGATTTTATTTTTAAGATTTCAAATAGATTTGATTATACTAATGATATATATATATATATGTTTATATATCTGCGGGGAAATTGACAGAGTTACGCCGTGTATCTCCCTCTATGCAATTTTTAATAGTTCGATCATATTTGATTATAATATATATATATTTATATATTTTGACAGAGTATTCACCGAGTAGGTCCTGCCATGTGTGTTGCATGCGTTGGGCATCCTCGAATACACACCGGCGTTGGCCGCAGCGATCGAGGACGGTCAAGTGCTTGTGCTTGGGAGTAAGGAGGAACCACATATATATATATAATATTTTCTCATACATTATTTTAAAGTAAATATTATTTTGGGACGACCATAGGCGACGAAGAAGTGGAATTACGCGCAGGGGCAGTCGTGGCGTGCGATAAGATTTTGGCTGTGTTGCAAGAAGGAGACATCCCCGATGCAACCATCCTGGCGCTGGACTCGTACATGTGGCGCGTTGGTAAGTTGTTATGATGAATCAAATAAACATTAAAAAGGACTTGCATTCTGGTCGAATGAGCGTTTAATATATATATATATATATATATTAACCTGTCTTATTGCATAGGAAAAGAGCCGCTGTATCGCCCGTTGGAACGCCACGCTACGCAAGACACTGTGTTGTATTAGTGTCGCGAGACCATAATGGTCAAATGAATTTTATCCAATGGCCTCGTAGTTTGTGTAATTATAACCAACGACCTTCCATCCTGACATTCATTTTGTCCAATCATGACGTCTTTGGATCCAGTTTTGTCCAATGGCATTTTTGTAAATTTCGAAGGAAACACAGCAAAAATGTAGTACTGATCTTCGAAGCACAATACCTTGGGCAATTTATCCAGTACATTTTTAGATCATGCAAGATTTATAAATTTCTTGATATTTATGACATTATATCCTATACTGATCTCCACCCTTAAACGAAACGGAGCAAATTATGCAATTCACACAGTAAATTAACTCTTACAGGTATTTGCAGGCTGTCTGAACCAACCTTTTATACATGCATTCAAGCGCTGGGCGTCTCCAAGTCAGAGCTGAGTATGCCAGTGCGTCTCCACCAGTTTCTCACAGTGGAAATGATGTCATCCATTTCAATGCCAAACGATTCAAGTGTTCGAAT